CCCGGAGGTCCCACACTGGCCTGCTCACCCTGCTCTTCTCTGCACCCCCCTCCCACCTCATGGCCCTGCAGAGGTTGAGGCTAAGTTCCAGAATGGTCCAGCTGTCTGCCCCAAACACCCCCTCTCCATCAGCAACCTCCACCAGCCACCGCGCCCACCATCTCCCTCATGCAGGCTGGGCTACTCACCCACCTCCTGCTCGAAGGAGAAGCTGCTGGCGGCTGTAAGGGGGGCGGGTGAGGGGGGGTAAGCAGAGAACCCAGGATGGAGAGACCACCCGGAGAGCCTCCTGCCGAGGCCAGAAAGGAGGCCCAGGACTCACAGAAGCTCTTTTGAGGCCATGACATTTAGTGTCATCAGTCATTTCGAGGGTGAGTAAATAGTGGAACCAGAATGGCGCAGCCATCGGTAACGGGGTCACACGTGCCATAAGGGACTGGTCTCAGACCCAAGCCCACATCTCTCCCTCTGTGTCCTGTGCTTCTAGAAGTGGCTGTGCCTCCAGGTGCCTCTCCTGTGGTCCCCGGCACTCCCGCACCCTCAGCCTGCTTCCCTGCGGCCGGGCAGGGCTCCCTCCTGCCCCAGGCGATGTCCCCAGTGGCTTACGCAGCCACAGCCACAGCCCCGGGCCACGCAGAGCATCAGAAGGAGCTTCATGCCTCTGTTCAGGCTCGCAAGAGTTCCCTCAATAGGGCCACCTTCACTTGGGGGCCCCCCCGGGAAGCTCCTGGGGTGGGTTCCTGCAGCAGGGCAGTAACCCGGAGGCCACAGCACCCCATGGGCTCAGCAACCAGGGCTGGGCCCAGAACGGCTAGGCCCCCCCCACCCCCAATAGGCCCCTGGGCCTTAGAGCCAAACCAGGGCCTACACTTGTCGCCGGTGCTGAGCTGTAGGGGCCTGGGCCTGTTTGGTAGGTAGATGTTGGGGTCGTAACCCCTGGAATATGTAGATGTTACCTGGCAGGGGGGTATTAAGCTTGCTTTTTTTTTTTTTTAAGTTTATTTATTTATTTTGAGAGAGAGAGAGAGAATCTCAGGATGCGGGGCCAGAACCCACAAACCGCGAGATCGTGACCTGGACCAAAATGAAGACTCTAATACTTAACTGGCTGAGCCGCCCAGGCGCTCCAAGGTTGCTAATCTTCTGATTTAGAGGTAATTATAGGGGTAATTATCTGGAGTATAAGGATGGGCTATTAATCCTTCACAAACCCCCCAGGGGAGTCTGATTTACGGGCAGGGAGTCTGGTGGGCTGGACCCGCTAGAGAAGCAGGTGGGAGAGGCCATCTCTGCTCATGTCACACTGGTTCATTAGCGACCCCCTGCTGGGCACCTGCTGGGTGGCCGACACTGGGCTCAGCCCCCACATTAAAGCTCGGAGTGGATGAGGCCCCCAGTCACCCTGGGACCGTGATGCAGTGTGGAGCCCTGCCCTTGAGCTCAGATGGCAGGGGCGCTTCCTCACGTCTGTGGACAGTGGTCACTCCCTGGGACCAGCGCCAGCCAGTCTAAAAGGAGGCCAGACCACATCACGTACGGTGGCACGCATGGCCTTTTCAGCAGTCTCCAGCAGAGCTCACTGGATCTGGGGAGAAGGGTGGGAGTAAGACAGGAAAACTGAGACACTAAGGGCACCGGGGTGCCTCAGTCGGTTAAGCGTCTGACTTTGGCTCAGGGCATGATCTCTTGGTTTGTGGGTTCGAGCCCCGCGTCAGGCTCTGTGCTGACAGCTCAGAGCCTGGAGCCTGCTTCGGATTCTGTGTCTTCCTCTTTCTCTACCCCTCCCCTGCTCATGCTCTGCCTCTCTCTGTCTAATGTTTAATAAATAAACATTAAAAACATTAAAAAACAAAACAGAGAACACTAAGGCCAGACCAGAGCTGGGACATTCAGGGCAGGGGGCTCAGGGCAGCCTGAAGCGAGGGAGCAGGTGAGGTGTGGCAGCCGGGCTCCTCCTGAGCCAAACCTGGGGCTGCGGGGCCAGCGGTGCCTCTTTATAGCCAGGTTCATTTAGTTTGTTCAGGAAACGCCCGTTTTTGGCTGCCTTCCTCAAGGAAGATGTCCCGCCCCCAGGGAGCCTTTTCCTTCTAGTGGGAGCTGTTCTTTCCTACAGCTTCACAAGCTGACCACATGCCCATGCCCAGCACCATCTGGGGGTGAGCACCTGACCCAAGGAAGGCAGGGACAGCCGCCCCTGGGGACCCGTGGCCCTCCTCAGGGAAAGCCACCGAGGCTGTGAGGTCTGGGCACATTGGAAGCTGGTCTAATAAATGGCCCTGCCCTCGTATGGGCAGCAGGAAGGATGAGGGGCCCGGGTAGCCAGAGCCCAGAGGGCAGATGGCCCGGACCTCACCTGGGGGCTAGATTTGGTGGTTCCCTGTATCCCTAGCAGGCAAACACTGGCATCTGTCAGGGACGCCTGGGTGGCTCAGTCGGTTAAGCGTCCGACTTCGGCTCAGGTCACAATCTCATGGTTTGTGGGTTCGAGCCCTGCATCAGGTTCTGTGCTGACAGCTCAGAGCCTGCAGCCTGTTTCAGATTCTGTGTCTCCCTCTCTCTCTGCCCCCGCCCCACTCATGCTCTGTCTCAAAAAAAAAAAAAATTTAAAAAGTCGGCATCTGTCACTCACCCCCCAGAGTCTTGTCTTGGACCCCAAGGATGTGCCCTGTGGGCTCAGCTACCTCCTTGCATTTGGGGAGCAAGAGCATTCCCTCCTGGTTTCCTAGCCAAATTCCCTCCCCAAAAGTCTGTCCTCACTCTCCTGAAATGGTTTGGGGAAGGAATTCAAGGAACTAATGACTCTGCAGAAGGACAGAAGGATGGTCTAGGCTGCTGCCCAACTGTCTCCCGGGGAGACCCCAAAACTCGGGTCTTTTCCTCCATGTTGTGCTCAGGGGATGGGGTTTGGGCTCAGGCAGCTCATGAGAAGCACCCTCCTTCCATCTGTGTATTTGGGGAGCAGGTCAGAGGGGAGGTGGTGGGTGGACCTGAGAAACACTTCCCCCAGGCTTTGATGGGTAGGGCACCTCTCCTGCCCCAGCCAGGAGCCCTCCCGAGAGACCACCTGTGCCGGTGTTTCCAGAGGGGGCTGGTTCTCTGGGCTCTTCTGCCCCTTCTCTCCATGGGCTGCATGTAGGATGGGACTCATTAGGACCCAGGTCACCTAGACTGTATGGAGTCGGGGCTATAATAAAACCTCAGTTACTCAAGGCACATATCGGGACACTTGATAAGTAACTGCTCATTTAACCCTCAGAGGAGGGTGGTGTGGGCCCTGTGTTGCCGCAGAGCAACATTCTGGGGGGCCCTCTAAACCCTAAAATTGACTTGCTGTGTGATCCAGCAATTCCACTTATTGGTATCCACGTTCAAGCACTGAAAGCAGGGACTTGAAGAGATGCGTGTGCACCCGTGTTCACAGCATCCAGGAGTGGACAGTTGCAACCCAAGTGTCCACTGATGGATGGTGGATAAAAAATATGTGGTCTGTTCACGGTACGTGGACTCAATGTCACTCAGCCTCAGAACGTGAGGACATTCTCACACCTGCTGCAACAGGGGTGAGCCCTGGGGACACTGTGCGAAGCAAGATAAGCCAGACACAGAAGGACAAGTATTGTGGGACTTTGACAGTCTCCTCCCTGGTGTTGCACTTGAATGTTTGCTGAAGGCGTGAGAGAAAGTGAGAAGGAAAGGACGCTGGTGTTTCAGCGGAGCTTCTACCACTTTGCGCCAGGAGCATCACCCCCGGGAGGCTCATTACGCGACAGCACTGGGTTTGTTTCAGGAGATGCGTGGAGCCTGAGAAGCTGCATTTCTACCCAGCCCCCCTGGGATGCTATTGCTGCAGGTCAGGGCCACGCTTTGCCTTGTTAATAACATGTGTCACTTTCACCTGTGACAGGTCCATGGCCGTCCCCTGACCGAGCGCATAGCACTGGGTGTTTCCCCGGAGCAGGACCTTGTAGCTGTTGACAGACTGGCGGGTCACGTGGCACTGGGTGGGTGAGAGGGGCAGCGGCAGGAGGAGCTGAACTGGTCCAGCCTTCAATGTCCACGTGAGGGCCTGGGCCTGAGGGCACCGGGCCAGAGCCGCGTCCAGCCTGGGAACCCTGCGGGGTGCCGGGCTCCTGGAGGAAGCAGAGGTCTTCCAAGCACGTCAGGGGGTTTCTCCCGGCCCTCCCTCCCGAAAGTTCTTCAGGCCAGCATTCTCTGCCCCGGCTGTGGGGAGAGTCATCCGGCCACTTTAGAAAGTCCCGGTGCCCGGCCGCTGGCTGCACCTGCCCCCAGCACACCCGCAGGCCTGGCCCAGAGCCAGTTCTCTGAGGCTGAGAGTCCCTGCAGGGGCGGGGCTGGAGGCCCTGGGCTGCATCCCTGCCTCCGGGGCCCACTGGCTCCCCCACCTCCCCAGGCTGACACTCGGCGTGTCTCCGGATGCAGGTCTATACCTGTCCCACAGCCCTTATGGGGCGCCTCCTGACACCTACCCCGGCTCTCCTGAACACGGGGGCGGGGGTCCAGGGGGGGCAGGGAGGAGAGTTAGAGAGAAAGTTCTGTAGAAGGCACGGCCAAGGGACCTCTGTTCCGGGCTCCTGCAGAGGCCCACTTTGTTGATGGGGGTCCTGGGTTAGGATGCGAGACCATGAGAAATCCTGCCAGGGAGAGGCTGGCCACCGGGCGTCTGCTACTCAGCCTGGAAGCCTCCCACCCAGGTCAGGGTCAGGAATGCTCCAGGCTGGTGTGGGTGGCTCTGGGGCCTGCCTGGGGACTCCAGCATCACGGCGGGTCTCAGCGCCTCGCAGGCGGAGAAGGAATCAGCAGGAGGCTGGCTGGGAGGGGGCGGGGGGCAGCAATGTGCACTCCGAGCACAGCACCCCTAGGGCAGGTCGGCCAAGGTGCGGCCGCGTCCTGGCCTTCCTCTAGGGGTCACTGGCGCTCCCCACAGGAAACACTTTCTGAGCACTTCCGGGGGACGTGCATTTGTAAATTGCACCCTCGGGTTACTCTAGTAACGTATTATGTACATTATAGACCATCCAACAAAAATACAAACTTTACAGGACTGGGCTAAAAATATAAATACAAGTTCCCATATTTCCCTCCCGCCGCCTGCGTCCTGCTGGAGGGGCCCCTGAGAGGGGCGGCGGGGTCCGGAAGGGGGACGGCGGGCGGGCTCTGGCGGGGGAGGTGGGCCGAGCCCTGGGGTCGACGCTACAGCTCTGAGCCGCTGGGAAAGCGGAATCTACGCGCGGGGCCCGGGTCACCGAAGAGCCCAGAGGGATCCTCGAGGCAAGGTCCGGGCCTCGGGGTCCTGGGGCCCGGGGAGCCCGGGCACGGGAACCCAGGGCAGAAGGATCGCGGGCGCGAAGCTCGGGAGGGAGGGGACTCGGGCCCCACAGAGTCGCCAGAGCCTGGTTCCGGCAGCAGCCGCGACAGGTCCTCCACCAAGTGCCACTTTTCCTGGACTTGCTGCGGGGGTGGCGGGAGCGAGCGGCCGGTTACGAGCGGCGCCTCCTCCCGGGCGCAGGTCGGGGCGAGCAGCGCGCCCCACTCCGCCCCGCCCCGTGCAAACCTTGCCCCCACCAGAGGCCACGCCCACGAGGAGACCACGCCCCCGTCAGGCCCCGCCCCTCCTAAGCCATAGGCCACGCCCCCAAGAGTACATTTCCCTCCCCGAAGGAAGCCACGCCCCCGCCAGGGGCCCGCCCCGCCCTCAACCCAGAGCCCCATTCCATCAACCCCCGCGTTCCCAAGCCTAAAGCCATAGTCCTGTCATCCGGCTCCCGGCCTGAGGCCGGTCCGGGGCCAGGTCCGAGCCCTCCCCAGCCCAGCGCACACTCACCCACACCAGTTGCTTCCGGATCCGCTGGATGGCCCTCGCGTTGGCCTGGGACTGGGAGACGCAGACGGTCAGGACAAGGCTTGGGACGGACAGGAATCCAAGGTCAGCTATCCCTGGACGGCAGGCGCCTCCCCTACTTCCTCTCTCCCCACCCCAGTGCCTTAACGCTCCCGGACTTCTTCTCTCGGCAGACACCTTCATCTCTCCTGTCCTTCCTCCCACTGGCGGCCCCTCTCTTCTAAAGGGCCCCCAAAATATCTCAACTGCAGGTTTTTAGTGTGTCTGCAGGAGGCAGTGTGTGTCCCCAGCGGTCACACAAGGTACCTGCGTTACAGGTGAGGCCCCGAGGGGGCTGCCCAGGGCCACCTGCCTTTGGGCCCATGCTCCATCCTCTGGGACCTGCCTCCCTGGCTCTCCCTGTCTGGCTCCCAGATCCCATGAGGCTGCCTGGGGGTCCTCATCGAAGGAAGGACGCGCTCCCAGATGTGTCCCCTCTTGGCCCCTGCTGCCGAGAGAGGCACCTGAGCAGGATGAGGAAGGGGAAGCTGAAGGCGTGGGAGCCCAGGTAGCGGAGAGCGCGCTGGCCAGGGGCGGGGAGCCGGAGGGCCATCAGCTCGGGGACCACCTGCCAGGGGGCTGAGTAATTGGCGAAGAGGCCGCAGTCCCAGGAGGAGTGGATGCTGGGGAGAGACAGCCAGGGTGGGGTTGGCGTCAGGGCCCCGGGCGAGGAGGGGCTGCCTGCCCCCCCCCCCGCCCCCAGCCTCGGGCACCTCTGCTGCCCTCACCTGCTGACCACATAGCCCAGAGGCACGACGGCCAGGAGCAGGCCCAGGATGAGCACCAGCTGGAAGAAGAAGGTGGAGCTGGAGGCGCGGAATCGCCGGGCAGAGGCCTTGGAGTTCCTCATGAGGGTGTACTGGGGGCAGGCAAAGCACACGGGAGGTCGTCAGCCAGCTGCCGAGGAGCCCGGGGCCCCGGGCAGTGTCACTGCGGGGCGGGCAGAAGCGGGGCAGGGGCCCTGCGCCGCTGACGGGGGCTCAAGGTGCCCACCCAGTGCACCTCCGGCCCCCGCCCAGCCCCGGAGCCCTCACCTTCTTGATGTAGAAGGTGAGGAAGATGAAGACGCTGTTGAGCAGAGGCAGCAGGGGACAATAGAAGAGGCCCATCCAGGTGACCGTCTGCCCCGCCACAATGTCCAGGACATTCTTGGGCACCAGGAATTCTTCCCGGTCCAGCCAGACCCAGAACGGGCCTGAGAACCGCTCCACCAGCAGCCTGGGGGAGGGGGGTGTCCAGGTACCCACCTCAGTCGTGACCACTGACCATCACACGCTCACTCACGCAGAGGCTCGTGGGAAGAACGGCTCACCCTTGGCTGTGGCCATCGGCCATGCCCAGATACGCCCGGATCACCCCCCCCCCCCCGCCCCCTATTCTCCCCACCGTGTCGCCAGGGCTCACCTCCTGGGCAGGCTGACAAAGAAGGCAAAGGCGACCGTGAGAAGGAAGTTGAAGATACTCAGCTTGTACAGCTCTTCCCCGACCGCGTTCTCCCAGCACTGGAGCAGAGGGGCACCTGTCACCCACGGTCCCCAGCCGCCCCTCGCCAACACACCGGGGGCCTCTGTGCTGTATGAGCCCCGCCTGGAGTCTGATATGATTGCTAAGTTAGAACCAGGCCCTCCAGGGAACCCCACCCCCGCCCCCAGGCAGGGCTGCCACCCTGCTCCGTGCATAGCGTGCTGTGAACAGCGCCTCCTGGAGGTGTGCAGCTCTCTCTCTCCCCCAAAGGTGAGGCTGGAGAGGGACAGTACAGGAGGGACAGGCCCGGAGGGAGCCACCAGCTACCTGGTAATCACAGGCGTTGTAGCCGAAGGACTCACAGCTCGTCTTGTTCCTGCCGAAGCACAGCACCGTCTGGCCCAGAGAGAAGGAGAACATTCCCAGGCTGGCCAGCTTCAGCACCACGCACCTGCGGGGGCGGGGCTGCGTCAGCGGAGGGGCTCCGTACGTGGGTGCGTCCCACCCACGTGACATGTGTGGCCGAGCTCTGAGGTCACGTCTCTCCAGCGTCCCCGAACCCGCTCTGATTCCAGAGCCCCGCCGACTCCCAGCCTGCTCTGTCGGTGGTGACGTTTCCCAAAGTGTGTTCCTCAGAACCTTGGTCTCCGGATGATTCATGAGACAAGGGTTCTGTTTTGAAATCAGTGCGGGAAACACTGTAGTCCAGCTGCCCCCCGTCCCCACTTATGAGTTTAGTATTCTTACAGCAGGTGACATCTTCCTTTCTTCTCCTGTCACTGCTCTCGCCCGCTTACACGGTCCCAAGTATCACAAGCACGCCCACGGGCGCTCCTGAATGATGTGTAACTGGATCCCACAGGCAGGATGGCTTAACCCCAAACCACCACATGCACGTTAGAGCTAAGTGTGACGTGTGACACAAGTCTGGCCAGGAACACGTTCTCCTGTTGAGGGAGGCTGGGAGGCAGGGCGGGTGGGGCTTAGTTTTTAGCTTTCCTTTGGTCGACGTTTTGAATTTTTTTTTTACCATGTGCGTGTGCTCTGACCTCTTCCAAAAATAAAGTTTCGAGCCACAGCCCGCCTTGGAGGGAAGCCGAATGGGCTCCGGCAGCTTCTGCCCGAGGGAAGCAGGAGGGAAAGCTAGCAGAGCCAAGAGGGGGGTGGGGAGGAGACCGAAAAGCCGATCGGGAGCTTCACGGGGCTCAAAGAGGGGCGTGAGGGGCAAGGCGAGATCCTCATTCCGAGAGGGCAGGCAGCAGGGCGTGCGGGTCGGGGGGGGCTTGCGTTTGAAGCTGCACCCAGCAGACATGGCGAGTTTGCCTTTGGCTGCGGCACTTGAGCCCTGCGAGCCTCAGTTTCCTCATCTGTCAAGTGGGGATGAGGATGGTCCCGACTTCACAGGTCACGTGAAGGTTGTCAAGTAAGGGGTGGCAACCCCTCTGGCTGTTTTGTCACTGGCCCCTCTGACGGCTGGTGCTTGGTCCAGGCCGCTGGCTTGCTTTGGAAGGAAGGGACTGGAAAGCTTTAGACGGAGCCTCCTGAGATGGCGTTTCTGGAAGCTCTTGCATAGCTTCCCTCGCTCGGGACCTCTGGTGCCAGGCGATAACCAAGCCAGGCAGCAGGACGCAGCGCCCTCCTGTGGCCCTGGGCCCTCCGTTCCTTCCCCTCCACACGCTGTCCCACCTGTCACCTCCAGGGGTGGCGCTCACCAGATAAGGGTGAGGTTGACCTCTGTGTTGGGAGGGTAGTTCTCCAGCTGGATGAGGAAAACAAAGAGCAGGGGACCCAGAAAGTTGACGAGGGCGATGACCCCGGGGGGCAGGTACTGCAGCAGCACAAACAGAGACTCCTGCGGGGAAAGGCAGGTAAGGGGGTGCACACGGGCTGGGGGACCCCAGCGGCTCCCTCGTGCCCCCCCCCCCGCACTCAAGAGTAATAACTGCTGCGGGCCTGGCATCTGGCAGCCCACGGACTATTCTCGGCGGCCCCGCGGCTGCAGGACGGCGCGGGTAGAGGCGCTTGGGCCCGGGCGTGACCTCAGGCGGACTGTTTTAACCTCTCTGAACCTCGGCTTGCTCATCTGCAAAGTGGGACTGTCCCGTCCCCTCCCAGAGTTCTGGCCGGGATTCAACGAACATATGTCCGTTGCCAGGCACCTCTTTGTTGTCCTGTGAGTACTTGGTGGCCCAGAAGATGGCACTGATGGCCCCGACCACCAGGAGCCCGATGACGACATTGACCCGCAGGTAGGTGAGCAGGTAGCAGGCCTTCTGGGTCCGGGTCTGCTGCTGCATCAGCAGGAAGCGACGCCATTCCTCCAGCTCCACCTGTCAGGGGGCGGGGACACATGCTGCAGCTGGTCAGGGGGGTAGGGGGTGGGGGGGCAGGGTGCCGCGTGGACGGGGAGGGTGCGCTCACACAGCGCAGGCCCAGGGCGGTGTTCTTGGGAGACAGGCTGCCAGGATCCAGGCAAGGCTGGCGCGACCCTGTGGCAGGGGCAGACTGAGGCACAGCGGCTGGTCTTATCACGACCACCCCACCTTGCACTGTGTGGGGACGCTCACGTCCAAGTACCCGCAGAGCCCCTCCTCCAGCTGGCACGCCCCATGCACACGCGTGTGCACACCCCCCAACACACACTTCCAAACCACAGCCACTCACATACACACTCACACATATGAGCCATACATCCCACACATGAGTGTGACACGCTCACACGCTCAGCCATACATCCCCAGTCACGCACCGCGCCCCTGCACACACCTTGAACTCGTTGCTGATCTCGTGTTTCTTGATGGTAGCTGCTTCCTGTCCCCGGATGCAGAAGTCCCAGGAGGAGAAGACTTTGACGCTGACAGGCGACCTGTAGTCTTGGCCCAGAAATAGCCTCTGCGGCAGCTCCTTCACCATCCTGGAGGGAGCGGGAGGCCAGGGCTCATGGGGGAGGGGCCTCTGCCCTGGCTCGGGTCCGGGGCGGGAAGCCCCTGACAGTCCTGGGGGCAGCCTTTGGCCTCAGCCTTTGTTGGCGGTGGGGAGACTGGGGCCGTGTCCCCTGCCCCTGAGCTCTGCAGCTGGGGACACAGAGTTCAAGCCCTGGGACCACTGACGGGCCTTTAGTAAACAGGGGCCGGGGCCCTCCTGCTAACTCGGGGGTGCCATGCCACGGGAGGGGCGTTCAGGAAAGACCCCCGTTAGGAGGTAGAGGCCAGGCGTCCGCACTCACCGCCGCAGAGTCCCACAGAAGCAGAGGAGCAGGCAGGCCAGCGGGCTCAGGAGGTAGGCCAGGCGGATGCTGTAGGCTGAGCTGCTTTCCGGGCTTGCCCGGTATGCGCCGTAAAAGAGGTAGGTGGTGTTGAAAGCCTGGGGGTGGATGACAGTGACCTGGTTGTGCGGGTGTGTGCCAAGTGCTTACCAGGTCTTAGCTCTTTAACGCTCACAGGACCCTCATCAGGTAGGGAGTGAGAGCCTCCCTATGTCACAGCCTCAGAGCAGTTAGGCAACTTGCCCAAGGCCACACAGCTTTGAGGAAGAGACAGGCTGGATCACGGGAATCTGGGTGGTAACCACTCAGTGGCTTCCAGAACTGAGGGTGAGGGGGTGCTTAGCCCGTAAGCCTGGACACTTTCCCCTCTGTCCTTTGCACCCCACCCCAGCTGGGCTCTGAGGGCCACGGGCAAGTGTCCGCGGGCCTGGGCTGTGCACACTGGCCTCAACCTCTCTCTGCGCCAGCCTGTGTGTGTAGAACCATTTCCCTAGAAGCCAAAATGTCTTTGGAGGGGCTGGGGTCCTTGTAGACTGCGGCCCCCTGGGCCGGTTCTCCAGGTCCCCCAGCCCCTGGTCCATAGCCCAGGCCATGGACCCACTCACCCTGCCGGTTAAAACATTCCAAAGTTGGTTGTGGAATCTGGGAACACCAGTCTGCGGCTGGAGGCCACCAGGGCACTGGAGGGCTGTCGGGAGGGAGAGGGGATGAATAGGGAAGGGTCCCCACGGCACGTCTGCTCCACGGCCCCCAGTCCCGGGGAGGCCCGAGCAGGGCCCGGAGGATATGTCAGGAGGTGAGTCAGGCACACGGCCCGGCAGGGAGAAGCCCAGGGCTGGACTCAAGCGGAGGATGCCCGGCATCGGGACACAGAGGGTCAGGGCTGTCCCAATACCCTGAGCACCGGCCGGCCCCTGGGCATCCTCAGGGTGTATGTGGGTGGGCCCGGAACATATTCCCTCAGTGGGCAGGGCACTCACTGAGGTTAAGGGAGGGGCCTGCGTCAGGGGGGCGGAGCCAGACCAGGGGCAGCAGCACCAAGCCGGTGGTCAGCAGCAGGGTCAGCAAGTTGAGCAGCAGCAGGAAGCGAAGGAAGGTGAAGTAGGACTGGATCCCGGTGCCGAAGAGGCCTACGGGGAGAGGAGGGAGCCTTCAGAGCCGCCCCGAGCCGGGGGTCCCGCTGAGAATCCGAGGGCTGTGGGAGGGAGGGCTGAGCAACCCCAGTGAGGGGCGGGAGTGGCCGGCCTGGGCGGGGGGACCTCAGTTTAAGGGCTCTGTCCTGGAGGCTGCCCTGGCAGTACCGCTGAAAGCCACCAGGGGGTGCTGTCATCCATCTAGTTTTGCGCCCTGGCTCGGGCAGAAGGGATGCAGTCCGATGGGGGGGGGGGCGATGGTTGTTGGTGAGGTTGGGGGGGGTTGGTTGGCGGGGACCGAGGGGGCAGTGGCAAGCGGGATGGTGCCCTCCTTGGGTTTCTAAACTGAGGCTCCAGAGAGGGGAGGTGGGGGTGAGGCTGCGGGACTTACCCCCGATCTCGTAGAGAGCGCCTTCCCAGAGCCCACAGCCCCGGGCCAGCCGCCGCGCTGCCTCCCCCAGGCGCCTGGCCGCAGCCTGCCGCCTGCGCCGCCATCGCTGCCAGCAAGAGGTCTTCACCCCCTGGGGCTCCCGCAGCTGCCTGGGACGGGGTGGCGATGGGGGCGCCCTTGAGTCACCCACCGTGCCCACGGGGCCGGGCAGAGCGGTGCCATGGGACAGAGGAGTCTTCCCACCGCTGCTGACTGCACCCTCATTCAAAGGCGCGTCCCCTCGCGCTCCCCCACCCCAGCCCCGCCGTCTGACCTCCAGCGCGACTCCCGGAGCACCCACCGGACCAAGCGCCTGTCCACCATGGCGTAGGGCAGCTCCCGCACGTGCCCCTCGGAGGCCCGCAGGCGTTCCATCTCCTGCTCCCACAGCTCCTCCTCCCCCGGCTCAGCGTCTGGCTCCCCGGAGCCCTGGCCGGGCTGCGCTGACCGCTGCCGCAGCATCTCAGCGCTGGGGCTGAGGTTGGGGGCGCCGGGCTGCCAGCCCCCCGCCCCCAGGAGGGATGCGGGCTGCCTGCTGGGCGAGCTTCAAGGTCTTGGCCCTGGCAGAGCCAGACATGAAGGGAAAGAATTCACTGGAGCAGATCTCGACCGGGTCCCCATCCACGTGTCAGAGCAACACACAGCCAGAGGCCTCGGTTTCCCTGCTGGTCCACGGAAGAAAGGTGCAAAGGGCACAGAAAGACGGGCTGTCGCAGGCAAAGACAAAGCCAGGCGTGGCCACAGATAAGTGCGAGGGGGCCCGAGGCCTGCTGCACCCCAGTCACGCCCGCTGCCTGTGGCCACAGGCCTCTGGGGTCACCCTTTGGCAAGACCATTCCGGCTCTTCTCGGGAGAAGAGCTAATTCTCCCACTGGGATCAGGCCCCGCCCTAGACCCTGACAGTTCCTAGGGTCCAGCGTCCTGCGGTACCACCGATTCCCATGTGCTGGGACTCCCTTCGGTTTTCTAACCCCGGGTCCGGCCCCAGGCCTAGGTCTGCCCGGTGCTCCCAGGGAGCCCAGATGAGGGGGCGTGGCTACAGCTCCAGACTTAGGAACGGGACCCCAATACTAGGCTCTGACCCACACCCCATCGGCAGCCCCACGACCTCAGATTTCTCTTTCACCCCTCCCCCTCCCCCCCAACTGTGAGCCCAGCTCACCTGGGGACAAGGGACCACTGCCCCAGAGGAGTCCCCTCCTTTGACGGCTCCCGGGCTCCCACTAAGCCAGGCGGGACTGAGGGAGCCGGCGAGGGGGTCACATGACAGGAACCCCGGCTCTCCCGCCGCCGTCCCCTGCCCGCTCCCCTCCTCACCCCCACCTCGCCAGCTTCCTCTGCTTTTGCTGGGGCCGCCACTTCCTGCAGGGTTGGCGGGGCGGGCGAGCAGGTGGGAGGCACGGCGGTGGGGCGGTGGCGGGGCAGCCTCGGGGAGGTGGGGTGGGCTGTGCCCTGGGTGGGGGTGCGCCCTCCCCTCCCCGCAGCTCCCGCAGCTGCTGCCTTCCTCACCCCGAAGCGAAGCTGCTCCTGGGTGCTCTCCCTATCTGCTCCCTTTACGTGGGGTTGGGGAGCCCAAGTCCAAAGCCCTGGAGGGGGCTGGCGGCTTATCTGCAGGTCCCAGGCTGCCCTCCAGAGAGAGAGGGTGATAGTGGCATAATGGGTGGGCCCCATCACTTGGGGCTGCTCAGTTTCCAGAAGCCCTTGGCGTTACTGGCACTGAGGACAGGGCGGGGATCTAGAGCCCGGCCCGTGGTGCGGCTCTGGCCGGCCTAACCGCCTAGGAGCACTCTCTGGCTGTCCTGTCTCCTGGGCTCCCCCTGGGGGGCCCCGTGGTCATGCCCTGCCTCCTTGCTCCCTGGCCACCTCCTTTAGGGCCCAGTCCATCTCATTACTGAACTCTGGTGGCTTTCCTATATCCCTGCTTAGGCCCCTTCAACTTCTGAGCCCCTCTGCTATGCCGGGCTCCAAACTGAGTGCCCAGTGCCCAGTGGGCTCAGAGAGCGGGGGCAGGGGAGACAGGCCAGCAAAGGAACATGTCAACAGGAAGTGACAAGTGCTCCAACAGGGGTTCAATCCAGGAAGGCTTCCCAGAAGAGGTGACTTGCAAGTTGGGCCCGGGTCATACAAGTAACATGTGGCTGGTGCGTGGGTGTGCCTGGCAGGGGAGGGGCGGGGAGTAGCGGGGAGGAGATGCAGGGGCCTGGGCAGGCCTGGGTCTTCATGCCCAGGTGCCTGGAGCCAAGATCCGGCAGGAAGTAACCCGCCAGAGGGCCCCACCGACGGCTGCAGAAACGCTCCAACCCTGGGCCCTCCCTCCTTGTCCAACTTCAGGTCTGCGACCCTTGGACCCGCGCCCTGCATCCTTTTATTAAGAAGCCCTGGCTTTGCCCGCCCGCCCCCGCCCCCCCCTGCCTCTCAAGGCTTCTCCCCCCGCCGCTCTCCTGACCCGCGGGAGCCCCCCCCTCTGACCTGCCAGGCTTTCTCGAGGTCAGGTTTGTCCGCGGGGCTCCCGGGTGGCTAGACCCGCGCCCTGGCAGATGCGTCCGGGGGGACCGATGGGCCTCCGAGCCTCGGTTTCCCCATCTGTGCGGGCGGGACGCGGGGCGCCTCCCTGGCTTTGGGGCCGGGCTCCGCGCGTCTGGGTCTCACCCCCTCCTCCCCACCCTGCACGCAGGAAGTGCGCCAGAACCGCGGCGGACAGACTCGGCAGAAGCCACGCCCGGACGGGGTGGGGGTGGGGTGGGGGTCACCGGGCTCGGCCGCGGGCCCTCGGTCGGCGGGAGGCCGGGAGGAAAGGGTTGCCCAACCCGGTGTCGAAAGGCGGGCGCCGCATCAGTGCGGCTCGCGTGCAGCACCGTGCCGGCTGCATAACCGCCCTCGGAACTGGGGGGCTGTGCAATTCTCTTATGTAAAGCTTGGGGAAACTGAGGCCCACGGACGCCGTGGACCCAGGCCGAGAGCGGAGGGGCCCTTGGCGCCCGCCCGCACCCCGCTCTGGCCCCGCGGCGGGGTGGGGGCGGGGTTGGACGCGGGCAGGGAGAAGGCACCGTCGCCCCAGGGCGCGGGGCGCGCCGGCCGGGTCACGTGACCCCGGAGCCCGCCACCACGTGGGCCGCGCTGGGCGGCGCAGCTCCCTCGGGCCCCGCCGGTCCTGCGACGGTCCCAGGTCGTCCCCGGGGCCCTCGGTCACTCCGTCCCCTGACGCCGCGGCCCCGCCCCCAGGCGGCGGAGCCCCGACAGCCGCTCCCGGCGGCGGCGCCTTCGGGGGACAGGTGAGCGGCGCGCGCGCAGGGCCCCTCCTCCCCGGCGCCTCCCAGGTGAGCGGCGGGGACCCGGGTGCCGGTCCGGGCTTGGGGGCGGCGCCCGGGTCCTCCCGGTCCCGCTGCTTCCCCCGCGGCACCCGCGCCTCCTTCCTTGGGGCCCCTGGGGTCACCGGGCTGTGAGTTCCCGCGCCGGTTGCTTTCCGCCTTCCCCTCCCGAGAGGGGCGGGCCGCTCAGGCAGCCCCCAGCCCACCCCACCGGCCGCCGCACCTGGGGGGGGGGAGGGCGGTGTTGGTGCCCGGGACCGGGAGGGGGCCGGGTGCGCAGGCAGGTATCACTGACCCCAGGCGGGGGGGGCGGGGCGGGAGGGGGCCGAGGGGCTCCCAGGGTTGCTGCCCTCCCTGGGCCCCCGAGGCTGGGCTGCTGCTGCTCCCAGAGGACTCACTGACCGTTGGGGTGGGGTTTCTGGAAACGGGGGCCCCGCCCTGCCCCTCCTCACCTGGCTCAGGGCTCAGGAATGGGGTGCCCTGGAAACTATGCCGCCCTGCCTGGGCCTGGGGCGGGGTGCCCGGTGTCAGCTGGTCAGAAGACCTAGGCGGTGACGGGGAGCCCAGGTGAGCCTCCACATCCAGGCAGGCCTCGGGTTCCAGGCCTCTGAGCACCCTCCCCCTCACTCGTAGGAGAAGGGGTGTGTGGGCCAGGCCTGTGGGTCTGAGCCCCGGAGGGTCTGTCGGTAGAGGAAGGGATTGTAGCTCTAGGGACAGGATGGGGGGGCACATGGTCAGCCCCACCTCCAGCTACTTTCCGGATTTAGCGGACCCGTCTCTCTGCTGGGTCCCAGCTGAGCTCCTTCTGCCGGTCGGAGGGGAAGGGGCTTGGGTTGCGTGGGGCCTGGGCTCAGACACTGACGCCCTGGAGGCCCCTAAGGGAGGACACTGTCTGGTCTGGGCACCCTGGCGTCGCCCAAGGAAGTCCCCTTGAGTTGAGCCAACTTTTCTGAGCGCTGCGTTCCCCTGGGGGTGAGTGTAGGGGGGACGGAGAACAGAGCAGATGCAGGCAAGGCACAGGGTGAGGCTCCCACACAAGGTCACGCTGGTCCCAGCGGCCCCACCCCAGCCGTGGCAGAGCCTCTGCCTGGACACGGCTGGACAAAGGCTGCCTGTTTACCGCCCAGCCCCCCTTCTTGCGGGCGGCTGCCCTGGCCTGCCCCTGGGGTGCTGAACGGAGGGGAGTAGCTGTGAGAACTGGCGACCTTGCGGTGCCCCAGCCCGGCCCAGTGAGGAAAGCGATGCGATGTTGGGGGTGGGTTCCTTGGAGAGGAAGTGTGCTGGGGTTACGGGCAGGCACAGGAAGGGGGTCTCGGAGCTGCCCTGACCCTTGTCACCAGGAGAGTGGGGGCATCCCCGGCGCAGAGCCCTGGGAAGGGCCAGCCGCGTCCACAGACACCCACCCCTTCCCATTTCCAGGCTCTGGCGCCACAGAGGAAGCCAATGGGGACAAGCCAGACCCGCCTCCCTTCCTTCCTCTCTCCCTCAGGCAGTGGGACGGGCTCCCCCTCGTCCCCTTCTGGCATGGGGTTTATTTGGGGTCACTAGCCTGACCACGTATTTGACTGTGGGTGCGGGGGAGGGGCAGGGGCTCGGGCGGCCCAGGCTGTGAGTGCCACCTCCCGCCGTCCCCAGGGGGTGGGTGGTTGGGCCGCACGACCTTGATGCAATGCTCTCTGTCGTCAGATGGGCAGCAGGAGGCCTCGGGGGCTGCGCCCGGGCTCCGAGCTGCCCTAGGTCTGCTGACTGGCCGGGCGTGGGCCACAGACATGGCCCAGCTGCTGCCCTTTGTCCTCAACGTCCCTGAGATCCCAGATGACCATGAGTAAGTGCTCTGGGCCTGGGGGGCGGGGGGCCGGAGGGCAGGGACATCCCTCGACTCCCCACCAGGCAGAGGCCATCTGGACCGGGCCGTGCAAGGGGTGGCTGCCGCGGGTGGGGGACTGGGGGGGCCGAGCCCTGAACGCCTGCCCCCTTCTTGCCCCCAACAGCCGGGAGCCCAGCCCGTACGACGAAAGCGAAGTGCACGACTCCTTCCACCAGCTCATCCAGGAGCAGAGCCAGTGGGTGGCCGAGGAGGGGCTGGAGCTGCGGCTGAGGGAGCTGCGGGCCGGAGCCCCGGGGACCTCGGGTGAGCTGTCCTGGCCCAGGGCCCCGGCCGCTCAGGACACCCCTCCCGGCTGGGTGCGGGCCCGAGGTCACGGGGATTGGGTGGGGGAGGTGGCTGGCCAGCCGAGCCTCCGGGGCCTCTGGACGAGGCTTTTCGGTGCGCAGGCAGTGGCCGCCAGGCCCCCCCGGCACCCGAGGATGCCGCCCCCAGCAGGGCCACGCTCCGCATCTTGGCCAGCATGCCCAGCCGCACCATTGGTGAGTGGGACCCTGTGCCCTGGCCTGGGCCAGCCCGGCGCTGCCCCCTCCCCACCGTCTGCTGCCCGGAGGCCCAGCAGAGCCCCGTGGGGCCTCCCTGGTTTCCAGAAACGACTGCGGAGCCGTCCCAGGGATAAAAACAGAGGCTTGGGAAGCCAGTGGAGCCTGGGTCCTGGCAGGGTGGGGGGCGGGGAGGCACAGCTGTGCGGCGCCCTGACCGCCACCCCCACCGCAGGCCGCAGCCGCGGGGCCATCATCTCTCAGTACTACAACCGCACGGTGCGGCTTCGGCGCAGGGTCAGCCGGCCCCAGCTCGGGGGCGCGGGGCGCTCGGCCCGGCCCAGCCTCCGCCTCTATGACCTGGAGCTGGACCCCGCGGCCCTCGAGGAGGAGGGTGAGTGAGAGGGCCCCGGGCCTCGGTGGGGAGGAGCTCAGGCTGGCTGGGCAGCGGGGGGCCGGGTGCAGTGGCCCGGGCTCCCCTCCTGCCTTGGCGCTGCGCGTAGGCTGGCAGCTGTGAGGCGTGGCCATGGCAGGGAAGTGGGGGCCTTTGGGGCGTGAAGCGTTTGGCCTGTCAGGCAGCGGTTGGAAACACCCGGCCCCCACACTCCCACGCTGAGCACTTCCATTGCACACGCTGGTCTGGGCTTTGGGGTGTGCCGATGGGTGTGATGAGGGACCCGGGGCTGGGTTAGGTGTGGGAAAGTCCCTGGCCAGGTCCAGGTGAAACAGATAGAAAACAACTGAATGGAAAAGCAGGTGATTAAAGCTCAGATAAGGGCGGTGGAGGAAAGTCACACTGCAGGAGAGCCATCCAGGGAGGCTTCCTGGAAGAAGTGACACTAGAGCAGAGGGGCATGTGCAAAGGCCCTGAGGTGGGAGGCTGGTGTGGAGGGCCTAGAGGACAAGGGACAGTGGTGGTAGCGGGGCCAGCGTCACAGGTTGGCCTTCCACCTGGTATCCTCTGGTGTATCCGGGTCTCAGGCACTGTGTTGGGGTGACAGGCAGTGTGGGGAGGCGCAGGCTCCCGGGTGAGGGTGAACCTTCCAGCTTCACTTTGCAAACCGGGCCAGGTGTCAGCTTTCCGAGTGTCCTCTCTTGTCTGTGAAACTGGGGTTGGAGTGGGGCCCCCCTCCCGGGGTCGTGGTGAAGAGGAAAGAGGGAGGGGCGGGTCTCTGGGCCCTGCCCTCCCCCATCACCCCACGAGAGCTAGTGTGGAGGGAGAGCTGGTGTGGAGGGCAGTGGTCGGGGATGGGGTTGGGACCTCAGCGCTGCCAAGGGGGGGAGGGGCGGGGGGCTCAGGTGCACTGGGGGTCAGAGCAAGGTGCTTGTGGGGACCCAGGAGGAGAGTCAGGGCCGAGGAGGTGGGGCTCACAGGCTGGGGGGGCACAGGCCCGGTCTGGCTTTGGTGGCCAGCCGTCTGGGCCCGAGAGGGCAGCAGCGGTGTGAGCGGGGGCGGGGCAGCGGGGGCCACAGGCTCCTCCAGGGTCACGGCCACAGGCAGGGCCTGTGGGCGGGGGGGGGGGGGGG